GGAGTGGAACGTAAAGCGAAATCATCTGCAAAGTCGAGGTCCTCAAGAGTAGGAAAGGGGGTCCATCTTACGCCTCCTTTTTGGTCTTCGGTTGCCTGTCTCATCACCCAGTCTATGGCCATATTGAAGAGCAGTGCTGACATGACACATCCTTGCCTAACCCTAGTCTTCACTTGGAACTTATGGTTACTGTTTCCAACTCTGCATGTGAAATTGGTGTAAAAGCTCTTAATTACAAGAACTAGCTGCTTTGGTATCCCGTATTTGCGTAGTATTCACCAAAGGCTGTCTCGATGGATGCTATTGAATGCTTTTTCAAAGTCAAAAAAATTGATATAAACTTTCCTCTGCCATCCCGCGCATTGCTCTATGATATTACGTAGTGCAAATATCTGGTCAGTGCACCCTTTTCCCTTCCGAAAACCTGCCTGTTCCGTTCTGACACTTTGGTCAACAGCATCTATGATACGAGTAATAATTATCTTTGCCAATATTTTGCTTAGTATTGACACCAGTGTGATGCCACGCCAGTTATTGCACTTATATAGGGATCCCTTCTGTGATAACTTTACAATAACTCCCTCTTTCTAATCGTCAGGAACTGCCTTCCTTTCCCATATAGCTGTGAAGAGCGGCAGAAGGATTTTTGCTGCTAATTCTGGGTCCGCCTTATAACCTTTGACCTCATTACCCTAAAATCTACTCAGTTCATTGGCTCTGTATGATGCAGACGTCCTGATTTTGAAAGTAGGGGGTTTCAGTTTGCCACGTCCACATAGACGACGTCAAAGATGTGACGTCATTTCGGCGATTTCCGCATGCGTCGGGTCGTCTCACGTCGTCAGGCCAAATTTTAGAACGCGTTCATCCACGATTTGAGGTTCGTCAGAAAAATCGAACCCCGTCTTAAAAATGACGTCATCTTGCTATATCGCCGCGTAAATCAGCAAGGAAAGACAGAAAGAGAAAGTGATAGTATTATAAAAAAAAATAAAATAAAATAACATAAGAATAGAAGGAAGGAACAGAGAATAACATAAGGAAATACATAGAGAGAAAGTGATAGAAGGAAGAAACAAACAATAACATGAGGAAAGACAGAAAGAGAAAGTGATAGAATGATTGAAACAAAGAATAGCATAAGAGAAGGTGATATAAGGAAGGAACAAAGAATAACAAAACGAAAGACAGAAAGAGAAAGTGATAGAATGGTAAACAAAAAAGAATAACATGAAAGAAGGTTATAGAAGGAAGAAACAACGAATAACATAAGGAAAGACAGAAATAAAAAATGATAAAGAATAGATAATGGAAAGATAGAAGAGAAGATTGAAGATGGAAAAACAAAGAATTACATAAGGAATGGTAGGAAAAAATGATACAATGATAAAAACAAAGAATTATATAAGAAAAGGTGATAGAAGGAAGAAAAAAGAATAACATAATAGAAGGTGATAGAATGAACGAACAAATAATAACATATGGAAAGACAAAAAAAGAAAGTGATTGAATTATAAAAACAAAGAATAACATAACAAATGTAAAAAGAAGGAAGAAACAAATAATAACATAAAAAATGGTAGGAAAAAATTAATAGAACGATAAAAACAAAAAATTACCTTATAAAAGGTGATAGAAGTAAAGACAAAGAATAATAGATACAAAGAATAACATAAGAAAAGAAAGAAGAAACAAAGAACAGCATAAGAAAAACAGAAAGAGAATACTTAAGAAAGAAGACAAAGAATAACTAGACGAAATATTTTCTAAAAAAGATAGAATAATAGGCGAAGAATAACATAAAAAGTGAAAGAAGGAGAAATTGAATAAACGCGCGCGGGTTTCATTGCGTAGAGAACGGAAAATGGTAGTGAACAGGACGGGTGTCTGACGCCAATTCGCATCGTTATAGGACGGGAACGCCGTCCTTGTCCACACAAACGAAAAGCCCCTAGTAATCCATCCGTTGATTGTATTTATAATGCGTTCACAAGCTGTTTTTTGCATACATAATGAGCCCCATGACCTTTGACCTAATGACCCCCAAAATCCACTCAGTTCATTGATTTTGCAAGATACATACATATCTTGAGTTTGATGATGATACGTCAATCGGTTCTATTGATAATTCGATCACAAGCTATTTTTGCATACATGATGAGCCCTGTGACCTTTGACCTTTGATCTTGCGACCCTTAAAATCTAATCAGTTCATTGGCTTTGCAAGATACATACTTGAGATAACGTTATCACGAGAACGGGACGTACAGACGGACGAACAGCCCGAAAACATAATGTATCCAGCTACTTTGTAGCGGAGGCATAAAAATATACTCTGTATTCGGCAGGCAAACTCTCACTTTCTTCAAATTGTTTTGCAGATAGGTTCACTGCTCCTGTGATTCTCCTCACCTTTATTTGGCAGCATTCGTTGGAAAATGTGTTCAACTTAAACCATATCAAAGAAAATAACAGCGATTTGCACATCTTTTACTCTATCTATCGGAATAAGTATATTTTCCTTTCAAGAATCCAAGATATCTAACTGATGAAGTCTTACCTTCTTCAATTGTTTTGCCGATAATCTCACTGCTCCTATCACTTTCTTCGTCTTTATTTGATGCAGTTATTTGGATGGTATAGTCCAGATAGGTATCCAAACCTCTTATCGTGTAAGAGCTTGTGTCATTAGGAACCATGAATGAGTTTAAAGGAGGTAATCCAGTAGAGGCATAATAGATCATATAATGAGTCACTCCACTTCTGCATTCTGCTGATTCTGAGGCGAGGTGCTGAAATTAAATTAAAAGTCTTTTTCATAAATCCCCAATCACAAATTTTTATCTGGCAAACAGATAAATTTTTACACCTGTTTTTAAATCCATTTTTTTTCTCGTTGCGTCAAATGTTGAGAGGTACGTAAAGAGGCATCCAGAATGCCAAAGGCATAAAAGTGAAGTGAGTCAACTATCGTTCATATTTGACATATCCCGATTAAATTTTAGGTAAAATCAAGTCTAATCAAGGTAAAACATATATTTACCAGCTCCATAACATAACAGTGCAGTTTTACATCAATATAATAGCATTATGACTATTAACAGTTATGCATTTTCTGTTCTGGAAGAGTCTTTTCATCCAACTTCATTTCACTAAGTGACCATAAAGCTATTCTTAAAACAGTTCATACCTCCCATGTCACCACTAGCTCTTTAGGGTTGGTGGCTGAAACTAGTAGTCCAGTTGGAGAAGCACTGGGTTCTGAAGTTAAAAACAAAATACTTGTTTGGTTTTATTGTATTCTTAAAGTTTATATCCATTATTCCATTTGTGCACTGCTGTGCGGAATTAAGTTGTTACAAATACTTACGGAATGACCTGTATGTGAATGTAGACAATCGTAATCGCGCTTAGAGACTGTTGTGGTAAGCGCTTTATAAACACCATTCTTCTTATTATTGTATAGAATATACTAAATGGCTTGAACCTATAGTAGACGAATTCATAAAATGTAGATGCAGGTCGTGGTAAAGTCATACATACACACGCTCCAAGGTTTTAAATCAAATGTTTAGGAGTGAAACATAAAACTACCGTTGGGCAAAACACAATGAAGGGTACTATATCCATTTTTGGCGAAAAGCATGTTTATAGAAGAAGGTTTCTGTGTCACATTTTAAAAGGGTAGAACAATTAAAAAATAGAATGTATGGAATGGTGTTACGAACCTCATACATATTTATGTCTATATGTATATTATTATGCCCTTTCACATCAGACTCGTTTTAAAAGATCTGATTTTTTATTATAAAACCCACGAATTTTATGAAGGCGTGATTGTGTCTTTCGTCACCTTGTTGTGGCAATGGAAAGTACTAACATTTCATTGTGATTTTACTCATTGAACTAGATAAGTTAAAGAGCCTTTGTTTAAATGGAAAGCGCATATAATCCCAAAAGTATGTACAAATCATCTACTTATAATGTAGTACATGTACTTTCTTGTAGATACCATATTCAAATGTTTAATTCTGCACCCTGAAATCATGACAAACCCTTGGCACATTGAATTATTAATCTTCTGAACATAACTTACTTCTACAAAGAGTTATTGTGTCGTTCCTAGGAGACAAAGGTCCTGTTCCTCCTGTTCCTTCCCTCACTGCTGCTACACGAAACCTGTAATCTGTGTCGGGTGTCAGGCCACTAACGATGGCTGATGTTGTGGGTTGTTCTACTCTCTGATCTATTACCCATTCGCCATCCTTCTTTACAAAGACATCATATCCTACAAGAGGAGGATCACCTATGTCATCTTCTGCAGACCATGCATTCCATTGAAGACTAATTGTAGCTGACGTAGTGCTCACTATCACTGGTGCTTTCTCAATGACGGGCAGAACTGAACAAAAACAAAAGAGACAATAAAACGTAAATATAACTAGTTGAAATACCAGTCAAAATCAATGACACACCTAGGTTCTTCCATTAAGTCAATATATATATGAAATTTACCCAAGTACACAAAAATACTATAATGCGGAGAAATTGCATACGTTGTGTGTGAGCAAGCCTGAGTACAATGACAGGGTTCATACTACATTGTAAAGCACTTTAAGACCTTGTAGATGTACCAAGTGTTATATAAACCCAGAATATTACCATTATTATATATTAAGATATAAAGTGTATTAATTAACTCACATGTAGGGCCTATGTAGATAGGTAATGTATATGATGCGACTTGCCTGCACAAACAACTGTTTCAAGATAAGAACAGACATTCCATGTCCTCTTTTTAGTAGATATTTGTTTATTCAGTATGTCCACTAGGCTCGGCCTTTTGTTTGTATTACTGAAGGCTAATTCACACATATTTTGCAACACACGTCTGTTGTTGTTATTACAGCTGTTGTGACTGCTGTTGCTGATGAAATGGTTGTTTTTTGTTGTGGCTGTTGTTGTTGGTGTTATGGTTGGTATTTTATGGAGATGGAGGACATGTGCCTGCCTCTTCATTTAACATGAAAGTTCAGAAAAGTTTGCTCACCATAGGTTGGGTTGGTATTTGGCGTACTTGGATAGCCTTCACCTTCAACAGTAAGAATGCAAAGGTATTCCCCATATTCCTGTGGATACACACTATCAACATCAAAGACAACAGCTCGTTCTGACCTCGAGACAGTGCTAGATCCCCTGGTGATTCCTGTCCTGTTATTGGTGCTTCCAGTACGTCTGTAAAGATCAACTGAGGATGCATTGGGAAGTGGGATACCCTCGACATAACATGTGAAGTTAGATGGCTGGTATGGGTTCACTCTCACTGGAACCAATCTGGATATTCCTGTCAAGAATCATGAAAAGAAAAAGGAAAAGGCATTCAATAATACACACAATTTTAACACAGAATCTGCTTCCTTTATGTATTTCACCTACGTACGGTACATATGGGAAATAAATCCTACATGAACTTTATAGAACATTGATCAATCGTGATATTCAAAAATAAAAGAATTGATTCGTTTGTATTAGAAAGAATGACAAATTGCGTATAACCTTGATATTCCTGTCAACATCACAGCAAAAGTACAAAACATTGAATACAAATATACATGTCTGCAGCAATAGAAGATTGCAACTCGGTCACTTCATTGTGTATAGATCCAGCACTAAGCAAGATCATTAAAAAACTAGAAATATCGCAATCTGTATTGCCGCGCAATGCGAATGTATCCCCCGGCAGGAGCAGCAATTTTGTGTCATCCTTATGTTCGAAGGAGGGACAAAGATCCCCTCTCCCCTCCCAGAAACAAAAGGATGACATAGAGATCGCCACTAGTGGCTCGGACTATTGTCACGACAAGGAGCAGCATCACCAAAACAAAATGTGTGTAGACTAGAATAGGCCTATAATGCATCTCTGTGGAAAAATTAAAAGAAATCTGTCTAGAAATGTGGCAGTTAAAGCGCACAAAAGACAGCCACCAAAATATGACCTTTGACCCTATAACAGACGAAACACAGGTGGTAGCATCACCAAACACTAAAGATGTGTAGATTGTACTAATTAAGACACACCTTCATACAATATCTGAAAGAAATCCGTCAAGAAATGTAGCAGTTAGAGCGCATAAAAGACATATGACCTTTGACCATACAAAAGACGGAACAATGAGGTCAGCACCGCCCAAAAAGTGTAGATGTGTAGATTGTACCAAGATTACCTTAAGATACTTTCAAATATGACCCGCAGAGCGCACACTTGACATCCACAAAAATATGACCTTTTGACCCTATAAAACAAGGGGCATTGGTGGCAGCATCACATAAAAAAATATGTGCATAGATTTTACCGACATAAACTTCTATACTCAATTTGAAAGAAATCTGTCAATAAATGATGCAGTAAGACCGCACACTAGAGTGCACACAAAACATCTATACCAAGATACACCTTCGTTTAAAATTTAAACAAAATCCCTTGAGAAATGTGGCCTATAGAGCGCACACAAACCATCCACAAAAAATATGGCCTGTTTAATAGGCCGTTACCCTAAAGAAGACGGAACACTGGTGGCAGCATCACCAAAAGTTGTAGGTGTGTAAATTTTACCAAGATACACCTTTATAGAAAATTTGAAAGAAATCCGTCAAGATATGTGGCAGTTAGAGCGCACACAAGAATATGACGCGGCGGACGTGGCGGTGGCGTAACGCTGCTGAATCCAAAGTACCGTTACCGAGATACTGCCGGGGATACAACTATCACAAACACTCTAGTACATGTATGCAGGTTTACCTAAAGAAGGGAAGCTATCAATCTGATCATTTTGTTTATAATCTAATTGCTCAATGTATATCAATGCAATACTCCTGGTATGAAAATCATACATGCAAACAGGAAACCACTGACTTTTATCAATCATGATGTCTATAGGTAATCAAACCTGTTACCCGTCTATGCACCTGTCCATAACGACCACTTAAAATCCCCCTGTGAGCAACGCTCAAAATACTTGGGGGCGGTGGGCTATTGGCCCCCGTGAGCTACATAATCGCCTCCGTCATGTTGCTCACGGGGGCGATTGCAAAATTAGAAATCGCCCCCGTGGAATTATAACATTAAGATTATCTTTTCTGTTATAACTTTAACACAATATTGAGTTTCAATTTTCAAACATTAAAGGCCCACTGCACTACTTGTAGCTACTTGCGCCCTCTATATAACAAACAATGCCTAATCGGTGACCATATTCTTATGTTAACTGAGAGCTGAGTTGATGAGATAACCACCTGTCCAGTGACCTTGTAAGGCGGTCTAATCCATCCTGTAAACTATGGCAGATAAGCTTTAAACCAATGAAATGAACTTAGATTAGCGTGTAAGATTTCTCGCTCGAATTTGTCGGTGTCTAGAGAGTAAAGGCCGCCATATTGTCAAGAAATGTACGCTTATTCACCGGAAGATGGCCCTATATCTCCCATCTCAATGAGTATTACCGATACAAACAACCGAAGCTCGCAGTGCAGTGTGCGGCCGTCAGCAGTGGCTATACTGCACCGTTAGTTCCGGTACGTATGCACGCTTCCGCCTCATATCTGCTGGAGCTGGAGGCGATCGTATGGCAAGCCGTTTTATAATTTAAACATATTTCTTGATATCAAGAAATCAATTCTTGATATCAAGAAATCGAATTCTTGATATCACGAAATCGAATTCTTGATATCAAGAATTCGATTACTTGATATCAAGAATTCATTTCTTGATATCTAAACTTCATTTCTTGATATCAAGAATCGAATTCTTGATATCAAGAATCCATTTCTTGATACCAAGAATCCATTTCTTGATATCAAGAATTCATTTCTTGATATCAAGAAATGAAGTTTAGATATCAAGAAATGAATTCTTGATATCAAGTAATCGAATTCTTGATATCAAGAATTCGATTACTTGATATCAAGAATTTATTTCTTGATATCTAAACTTCATTTCTTGATATCAAGAATCGAATTCTTGATATCAAGAATCCATTTCTTGATATCAAGAATTCATTTCTTGATATCAAGAAACATGAATAAATGTTAAAACGGCTTGCCATACGATCGCGCAAGGGCTGAAACATGGTCATGGAGAAGTTTTTTTGTTGTGAAAAGGCAAAAGCGTACATCTCTGAAATCTGGTAATTCGAAATGACCAGCAAATAATTCGAACCTCGACCAGTAAATCAATATTGAGAAGAATAGGAAAACCAAAGATGTTGTAGACGGATAGCACATGGGCGGATTTTTATACGGGGGGGGGGCAGTGGCGGATCCAGGGGGGCCAAGGGGGGTCCGCCCCCCCCCCCTCCGCCCCCCCCCCTCTTAAAAAAGAAGAAAAAAAAAGAAGGGGAAAAAAGAAGGGGAAAAAAAGAAGGAAAAAAAGAAGGAAAAAACAAAAAAACAAAAAGGGGAAAAAAGGAGAAAAAAAAAGAAGGAAATAAAAGGGTAAAGATATCAAAGGTATCAAAATATGCTCATCTAACCGAAATTAAATGCCTAAAACCCCTTGAATTCCGGTGGCTCTTCCCCCCTGGACCCCACCTAGGGCCCTAAGGCGAACGGCTGGATGCTAATCTGACGGTAATTTAATGCTTAAAACCCCTGAGCTTCTGAGGTCTCGGCCCCCTGGACCTCATGCCAATGTCCTGCCAGTGTCACAAATATGGTATCAAAATATGTTCATCTGACAGTAATTAAATTCCTAAAACCCCCTAAGTTTCCGGAGCTCCACCCCCTCGACCCCACCAGGGTCCCTAAGGCGGCCCCTGGATGCTCATCTGACCGTAATTTATTGCCAAACACCCCTGAGCCTCCGGGGGCTCCGCCTCCTGGACCGCACGCCAATTCGTGGCCTGCCAGTGTCACAAATAAGGTATAAAATATGCTCATTAAATGATAATTTAATGTATAAAGCCCCTGAGCTTCTGGGGGCTCCGTCCTCTGGACCCAAAACTAATTTGTGTCCTGTCAGTGTCACAAATAAGGTATACAAATATGTTCATCTGACCGTAATTTATTGCCCACAACCCCTGAGCTTCCGGGGGCTCCGCCCCCTGGACCCCACGCCAATTCGTGACCTGCCAGTGTCACAAATAAGGTATAAAATATGCTCATCAAACGATGATTTAATGTATAAAACCCCTGAGCTTCTGGGGGCTCCGTCCTCTGGACCAAAAACTAATTTGTGTCCTGTCAGTGTCACAAATAAGGTATTAAAATATGCTCATCTGATGATAATTTTATGTATAAAACACCTAAGTTTTTGGGGGCTCCGCCTTCTGGACCCAACACCAAATTGTGTCCTGCCAGTGTCACAAATAAGGTATAAAAATATGCTCATCTGACCGTTATTTATTTCGCAAAACCCATGAGCTTCAGGGGGATCTGCCCCCTAGACCCCGCGCCAATTCGTGACATACCAGTATCACAAATAAGGTATAAAATTATGCTCATCCGACGATAATTTGATGTATAACACCCCTGAGCTTCTGAGGGCTCCGCCCTGGGGGGAAAAAAAGTTATTTTTACCTTTTTTCGGAGATAGGCCCCTCCCCCTGGCGTTTAAGGGGGAGAGGTGCGAATTTTCACATTTTCGAGGGCCAAAACAAAAATTAGTGCTGACTTGTTAGATTTCGGGCTTATAGAAAGGCCCCAACGCCAACCTGTCAAAACAGACCACCTATCTACAGCGTCCACTTCTTGTGTTTCCTTTTGGCGGTTAATTGCTATAGACAGATATGACTGCAAAGATTACCAAATAACTGATACTCATTTGGAGGGGAAAAAGGTTTTTTTTACAGTAAACTTCCGCTTACTGCGTGTAGAGTGTAGGAGAAACTTCATTAATATAAATTGGATTTTATACAGAGCAAACATTAATACAATTTTTTTTAAAGTATGCTCAACTGTCTGAAACAAACAAGAATAATATTCATGATAATCATGGCTATTCATATAGCGCTGGTATCCGCTAGGTACTCATGCTCATAGGGCTCTACAAATAAATTAGCTTTAACTGAAGTAAAAGTACATGCTCCACAAGCTTCTGGAGCACATGAAATACACGCACACAAAGCTCCATATGCACTCTGAGTTTGGTCTTAATCTAAACCTTTTTAAGCTGAAATAAATGTAAGAAGACAAACCAGATCACAATATGCCAGGTATAATTACTTTGACTGCAGCTAGGTACAATCCAGCTATCAATGCATTGTCCCTGGCAAAGACCTCTCTCTGTCTCACAAGCCTCTTGAGCACAATGACATTGCTGAAGACAATCCAAGCCAAAGGTACCCCCTTCACACTCTGAAAAAATAAAACAAAAGTCATGTTTATTGGAAACATCTGGACCCCCACTTCATAAAAATAACCATTTTGCACATTTATACTGTCAAATATACCTCATTTCGAAAAATCGCCATGTTTCGCGCTCTCGTTTACACTTGTGCTAAAACATCACCGACTCAAAAGCTCAGTGATTTTTTTGTTGGTAATACGCGCATGCACGGTCTTCCCGTTGCAAAATGCTTTTCCGATCAGCTGTTTTTAGGCTGTGGCTGCTGCAGTCCAGTGAATTAGATTAAGTTACAGTTGCAGCAACTCCACAATATTTTCACAGTACCCGTAAGAAATTATGAAAAATAATCGGAGGAGAGCTTTCATATACTTTGATTTATCACATACGAAAGTATCAATGTGGTTTAAAGACGGAAAACATGAAAAATACTGCAATCATTTGGAATTAATTATTCACACAATTTGCGCTTCGTTTCGCTCAGTTTTTGCATATTAAAACATGGTTTTACTACTAATTGCAATATTCATGAGCTAAAACAACTCTTCTTCCATTTGACATTTCAATCATTTCATTTGGTGGTTTCTAAAGCAAGATTTTACAGTTTAGCTGAGACTCTTTCGTAGCGGCTCGGCATGAACAAGTTGGTTTACTTTACACAAATAAGGCTTCAAGGACGAAGGCTAGCCCAGCTCCTAAAGTCACGTGACAAACATCGCGATGTTTCAGCTGCGAGCGTTTATACTCGCCAAACGCGCCAAAACACGCCAAAAATCACACTTCATTTTGGAATATTTCGGGCTTGGCATTTTGCCGGTAAAGCGTAGTTACCTTGCAGCCTTGGAAACATCAAGGAAACATCGCGGTCAGGCTCCGGTTTAGCATTTTTTGGCGTGTTTAGATGCAAGTGTAAATGGCCCTAGTGATGGTAACGTTGCCATCAATGGCAACTATTATGTTAACAGGGCTCAACAGCCAATCAAAATCAAGTTTCCATGGTAGTTATACCATTGAAGGTAAAGTTACCATAAAATGTAAGTTTTGTGCGACGGGCCCTGGTCAATGATTATTATTGAATGCTAAAGGCAAAGTCGGGGTCTACTGGAAACAGGGTTGTAAACACAAAAACCAAATCGTTTAAATCATGTGAAATTATTAGTTTTTCTTCCGGCTCATATTCTTCTTTAACTTTACAAGTAAAGGGCAGGGAGAGGGGGGGGGGGGGTGTTTGACAAAGACTAAGATCGACTTTAAGTTTTAATTTTTATTTTAAGTCTTAATATAGTTACAATCAGCAACTCAATGTAGTAGTATTGAATATTGCAACACGCATAACAAAGAAATTCAAAACGAAGCAAGGCACACTTACTTTTGTGCCATTAAAATCAATTACTCAATTTATTAATCGAATTGGTTTGGTATTGTAAGGTTGTTTGATCTGCCCTCAATCTTGTCTTGATACCCATCACTCAACTTAAGGATTTTCTGCCATCAACGTTTTATCTTTTTCTTGATGTTTGTGATATTCTTCGACTCTGTGTGATGTCTTTAGAATAGAAAAATTCTGAGCATCAAATCGCCAGCGTCCCTAGCAACTCGGATAATATTTGAATAATTCGCCATGTTGTTTTTAATTGGAAATCACCGTTACCGTAAGACGAAACCATCTTTCCAACCACTATTTTTAATTGTTATGTACATTTTTGGACTACGTGTATACAAGAAATGTATGAATGACCAGCATCAGACGAGGATCAAGTACAGTAGGATTATTCCTTTTTTCGATACATTTTTTGACGAGCCATCTCCAAATGCATTTTTATCAAACTTTACCCTAAATCAAACTCAAAGTCATGACTCCTGATCAAGTTATCCTGTCAAATGCCTACATCATTTCCTTTTCGTGTGCCACAAAGCCATACCAAGGTAGAGGACTCAAGCATTCCAACACCCCCTTTTTGGGCCTCCCTCGTGGACGCCTTCCCTTGTTCATCTTAGTGAATTTATTAGCTGGAGATATTAGCCTGAATCCAGGCCCTTCGTCATCGACAACAACTAAAGTTGATGATTTAAGTAACACTAGTAGTCCTTCTATTACTAGACCTACATGTAGATGTACTAGTACTAGTACTAGTAGTACTACCAGACACCGAGGTAAAAGATGCCGTAAGCCAAAATATCCTTGCGGTCTGTGTGAATATGCTGTTAAATCAACTGGTATACAGTGTACAAACTGTACGGCGTGGTTTCACTTAAATTGCAGCGACACCTCAAATGTAGATGTGAAATTTCCTAATGTACATGTATACCCAGATGCAATATGGTTGTGCCCAGGGGCATCGCTAGACCTTTTTCAGTGGGGGTGTAGAGGCCAACAATTAACGACAAAACTAGCCACCAATTACCGACAAAAGTAAATGTCCAATATCTACAAATTAAACCCTATAAACCTGGGGCCGAAGGCTAAATTGTTTTTCCTATGGACTATCTATAGTACTTGCATATGCGCAAAATGGTCATTTTCCTCGACGACATAAATATACGAATTATTTCTTCAGTTTAGTCAGCATCATAGCTATAAATTTTAATGCAGGCGCGGAGCTAGGATCTTATTTTAGGGAGGAGCGGTAGTGAGCAAGAGAATCACTTAAAAGCGCGCTCATTAGTGGGGTGTGGGTGATGGGCCTCCCGCGCGAAGCGCGGAAGCTTAGACGTTTCCTTAAATTATTAGGAAAAGAAGACGATTAATTGTATCGTTTTCGACTGGTACTCCTTGGCTGTATGAAGTCCCCCACCCCTCTCCCGCGCAAAGCGCGAAAGCTTTGATGTTTCATTAAATTATTATAAAAAAGAAGGCGATTTGCTGTACCGTTCTCGACTGTTTATCCTTTTCTGAATTCAGTTCCCCCCCCCTCCCGCACAAAGTGCGGAAGCTTTGACGTTTCATTAAATTATGAGAAAAATTAGACGATTCGGTGTACTGTTCTCGACTCTTAATCCTTATCTGAATGAAGCTTTCCTCTCCCGCGCAAAGCGCGGAAGCTTTGACGTTTCCTTAAATTATTAGAGAAAGAAGACGATTCGTTGTACCGTTTTCGACTTTAAATAAGCCCTATTAATTTTGTCTGAATTTAGTTTCCCCCTCTCGCGCGAAGCGCGGAAGCTTTGACGTTACCTTAAATTATTAGAGAAATAACACGATTCGTTGTACCGTTTTCGACTCTACATAAGCCCTATTATTTTGTCTGAATTCAGTTTCCCCCTCTCGCGCGAAGCGCGGAAGCTTTGACGTTTCTTAAATTATTAGAGAAAGAACACGATTCGTTGTACCGTTTTCGACTCTAAATAAGCCCTATTAATTTTGTCTGAATTCAGATTCCCCCTCTCGCGCGAAGCACGGAAGCTTTGACGTTTCATTAAATTATGAGAAAAACAGACGATTCGGTGTACTGTTCTCGACTCTAGCCCTATTCATCTGAATTCCGTTTCCCCCTCTCGCGCGAAGCGCGAAAGCTTTGACGTTTCCTCATATTATTAGAGAAAGAACACGATTTGTTGTATCGTTTTGACTCTAAATAAGCCCTATTAATTGTGTCTGAATTCAGTTTCCCCCTCTCGCGCGAAGCGCGGAACCTTTGACGTTTCCTTAAATTATTAGAGAAAGAAGACGATTCGTTGTACCGTTCTCGACTCGTCTAAATGAAGTTTTCCCCTTCCGCGCGAAGCCCGAAATTGTTGGCGTTTCATCACAATATAGAGAAAGGAAGACGATTCCTCGTACCGTTTTCGAATCTTATTAAGCCCTATTCATCTGAATTCAGTTTCCCCCTCTCGCGCAAAGCGCGAAAGCTTTAACGTTTCCTCAAATTATTAGAGAACGGACACTATTCGTTGTACCGTTCTCGACTCAAATAAGCTCTATAAATTTTGTGTGAATTCAGTTTCCCCCTCTCGCGCGAAGCGCGGAAGCTTTGACGTTTCCTGAAATTATTAGAGAAAGAAGACGATTCGTTGTACCGCTCTCGACTCTTAAACCTTGTTTGAATTGATAGTTTCCCCGAAAATTGTAAACCTCTGATTTCTTTAGCTGATATTATAGGCAAGTGAAACTTCGAGAAAATACAAGTATTGTAGTTGTAGTCACAGTTCGTAGGGAAAAAAAACTTGTCGGCCGTCCGACAATATACGACTCAGGCGCGGATCCGGGATTTTTTAGGGGAGGGGGCCCAACTTTTTTTTTTTTGCTCCCGAGAATTTGAAAATCGCGCCGGCCGAAAAGTCCCTCAGTTGGGGGGGGGGGGGGGGGGGGGGGGGGGGGGGCTTAAGCGGACCCTTTTTTAATTTTTTTTTATGGAGTCCAAAAAAAAATCACAACGACTCAGCCAGCCGAAAAGTCGCTCAGTGGGGGGGGGGGGGGGGGGGAGGGGGGGGGGAGTCAGCACATTTTTTTTTTTTTTTGGTCCTCGAAAATTTTAAAATTTGCACCCCAAAAAGGTAAAAATCGCGTGATTTTACATGATTTTTTTCTCAAGGGGGGGGGGGGGCCGGGCCCCCGGGCCCCCCCTGGATCCGCCACTGCTCAGACTATTACCTCCCCTCTCTCTCCTCTCTTTCATCCCCCGTTTCTTTTGTTTCCCTTTCTCTCTTTTTTCTTCTTTTTTCCTTTCTTTCTTTTCTTTCTTTCCTTTCTTTCCTCTCCTCCCTCTTTTTCTTTTTTCTCTTTCTTTCTTCTCTTTTCTTTCCTTTCTTTTCCTTTCTTTTCTTTTCCTTTTCTTTTTTCTTTATTTGGGATGTCGCACCCCCACCCCCCCCCCCCCTTGGCGACGCCCTGGTTGTGCCCCGCCTGCGACACAACAAACCTTACAAGCTCATTAGGCAACCCGTCAAGGGCGCTCAATTTAACTCATATCCTGCCATGAAGCTGCTAGCGCGCTATTGTTATAGTGCTCTGTGCACGCGAGCGCGCTACCGTGTGACTGCTTCGTGCACGCTAGCAAACATATGTAATAACAGTCATTGTTCATGCCCATTGCACCGTGCTGAGTGCTTTTACAGCGCTATTGAAAGTACCATCGCGTGCATCAGATTATCGGTTTAGGATTACGTGTCTTTGTATACAACAGTCAGATTGGATTTTCTCGAGTAATTCGGCGATTTGTTTTTTGTAAAGATTTAAATAACACGCACTTGAACAAACCTTAAAATTAACTTGGCAACCGGGAGATTAGCACTGTGGCACTGGGTGCATTGTATGGGTGGCAGCTTAAGAGTTAAGTAACTCTTTTGAAAGCCTTTTGACCATTAGTGATGACTCTGACGAGGATGTTGAAAAACGTCATGTGTTCTCCAAAACATCTAGTCCTAAGCGCACAAGAACTGTGCCTAAATTAACTCTCGAACAGTCAGACAATATTTGGACTAAACAAACAAAAACAGTTCCAAAAATGTCTCTAAAAAAGTCAGAGGATGGTTGGACAGTAGTGGGTCAGAATGGCAGAAGTAACACCAGTGCCGACGCTACGTTACCTCCCTCGCAGCTAGGTCAACAGCCAATGCCCTTCGAGGCAGAAGCCCAGCCTGCCTTCCTTAAATAACAAAAAACGGGAAACCTACAAGAGGTGATGACATTAAGATTGAAATAATAAACTGTCGCAGTATTAAAGGTAAATCCGCTTTACTAGCTTCCTTTATTGAGACTTCAAACCCGGACATTCTCATTGGTACTGAATCTTGGCTTGAACCAGAAATAAAGTCTTCAGAGTGCTTTCCTCCTCATCTTCAGATTTTCCGGAAAGACCGAAATTCCCATGGAGGTGGAGTTTTCGTAGGAGTAAACAAGAACATACCCTGCTTCGAGAGAACAGATTTATCTGACAACAGTGACAGCATTGAGAAGCTCTGGTGTCAAGCTTCGTTACCAGGACAAACCTTACTCGTGGGTGGCTTTTATCGTCCTCCTGATGCTAAAATTTCCCCACTACTGCAGCTTGATGAAAATATTGCCAAAATAAACAGCTCCTCAAGTTCCCCACTCATTATCTTGGGTGGAGATTTTAACGTTCCAGGAGTTGACTGGTCTAGTGGAAATCAAAGTGAACCAAAAGGCGCACTCCAAATGGCACTTGCTGATCTGATTTCAAATAACCATCTCACCCAGAAAGTGACTTTTACTACTAGAAGGGACGAGAATGGAACCGAGAACACCCTTGACCTTTTTTTGACTACTTATCCTGACTTAGTTAGTGATGTTTCATCTCTTCCTGGAATCAGCGATCATTGTATTATCACTGCCAAATTTCGCACAAAAGTAAAAGTACCTACCAAGCCTCCCCGTAATATTCCTCTTTGGAGGAAAGTTAATAATAATGACTTAAAGGAAATTGTTGCAAAACTTGCTAAAGAATTTCGTCCTTGTTTTCACGAAGTGACGGTAGTAAGGAAAATGTACACGCAAAGTGAATGCAATTTTTTTTCACTACCGTCACTTCGTAAAAACAGCGACGATTTATTGATCTCCAACCGGACAAAAACTCAGTTGAAGAAAACTGGACTTGGTTACAAAACTCACTTAATGAAACTGTCACCAAGTATATTCCCCACAAGCTCCTCAAAGGACGAATGCGTGCACCTTGGTTTACAAGCAAATTGAAACGTCTCTGCAGTAAGAAAGAGAAGTTTTATAGGCGTGCCAAGAAAAGCGGTGAGAAATTGGACTGGGAAAAATTCACCAGAGTACGCAAGCAAGTTGATCGTTCCATCAGGAATACACATAGAACACATGTTTCTTCTATTTTGGAGAATGGCCATCCTTTTTTCATTCATTTTTGGAGATATGTGAAATCAAGAAGAACTGATAACACTGGAGTTCAGCCGCTGAAAGCTAACAACAAGCTGTTCACGAATGACAAGGATAAAGCCGAAGCCCTTGCAAGCCAATTCCAGGGTGTCTTCACACGTGAGGATGTATCTCAGTCGTCGTTCCCAGATCTTCCTCCAAGTACATTCCCTGACATGTCGGCCATCACAGTTGACGTTGAAGGTGTCAAACAACTTCTTCTCAATATAAACACAGCCAAAGCAATTAGACCAGACCAAATCCAGAATCAAGCTTTAAAGATCGCAGCAGAGGAGATTGCTCCCATACTACAGTTTATATTTCAGCAGTCATTGAACACCGGAGATCTCCCCCTAGATTGTAGAGAGGCGAATATCACCCCGCTGTTTAAGAAGGGTGCTACTACTGACCCTGCAAACTACCGTCCCACTTCCTTGACGTGCACATGCTGTAAGTTATTAGAGCACATCATAGACAGTAACCTGATGCGACACTTGGCCAAGCATAACATCCTGGCTGGAAATCAACATGCCTTCAGGAAACACAGGTCGTGTGAATCTCAGCTCATCCTTACAACAAATGACCTTGCCAAGAACTTAGACAAAAATATCACCACAGACATGGCAGTGCTTGATTTTTCAAAGGCTTTTGATGTCATCCCGCACCAGCGTCTCCTCATGAAATTAGACTATTATGGTATTGGAGCAAATAATAAGAGATAGATATCTAGTTTCCTGACAAAGAGACTGCAACGTGTCTGTGTAAATGGTCAATGTTCCGAGTGGTTACCAGTCCTCAGTGGCACTCCACAGGGCACCGTGTTAGGCCCTCACCTTTTTCTACTCCACATCAATGACATTCATGAAAAGGTTACCAGTACAACACGACTTTTTGCTTACGATTGTTTACTTTACCGTCCCATTAAAACTGCTGAAGATGAGAAAGCTCTTCAACAAGACCTAGATACTATGGTTCAGTGGTCCAAGACTTGGAGTATGCATTTCAATCCCTCTAAATGCAAAACGATGCGTGTTTCAAGAAAGAGAACGCCGGGTACTAAATCTAACAAAATCCTTGATGTTACCCTGGAGGAAACGAACCCGACCCTATACCTTGGCATCAATATCCAGAAAGGCCTACGCTGGAATAGCCAGACTCATTACACAACCGGCAAAGCCTCAAGGGTCCTTAACTTCCTAAGGCGCAACTTCCATCACTGCTCATCTAATGGTAAAGAAAAGTTGTATCTTACTCTTGTACGTCCACACCTTGACTACGCCACTGCAGCATGGGACCCTTGTACAGCCAAAAACATCTATGCTGTCGAGAAAGTTCAACGTCAGGCTGCAAGTTTTGTCACCAATAATTACGGATGGGACACCAGTGTTACCAAGCTACTCAACCAACTCAACTGGGGATCTCTTAAAGACAGAAGGGAAGCACACCGTCTTGCCTGCCTCTTCAAAATGATCAAGGGACAACTCGACTACCAATCTCACACCAACCCTAAGCCAGACAGACGTAGACGAGGACACTCTAACCAATTTGAAATTCGCCACACCAACTCGGACGTCTATGCCATCTCATATTTCCCAAGGACTGTAAAGACATGAAACAACCTACTACAAGCAACCATCGACCAAACCTCCCCACTCTCATTTAAAAATGCAGTTACTAAAGAACTTTTTTCCAAAATGTAATCGTCCACCCTCCACCACCTCCAGTCAAAACTCTTCTTCGGAGTATTTAGGAGGAAAAGAATCCAAGATCCAAGAAGAAGTTGGACTTAACTATGGCAGGCTATTCATGCCACTGGTTGCTCTCACCATTATGATCTTTAGATAACAATTTTCCTTCAATAATGGATTATCAAAAAATGTAAATTCTGTAGATTTGTGACCCTGATTTGTACGTCCCTTGCGAGAGCAATGCAAGTAAATGGTGAGAGCAAACAGTGGCATGGACAGCCTGCCATAGTTAAGTCCTAGTTAAAGTCGATCTTATATTAGTCTCTGTGAAACACTTCCCACTACTAGAAATCTGTTGCAGCCAGCAGTTCAGGGATTACCTCTAGATCTGCTGTTCTCTTGGTTACCACTTTAACAGACGTTGCTCCTGGGACGATTATTTCGGACTGTATTTCATCAAAGGTATGTGTTAGGATTCGGGTTGCAATTTGGTTTTAGTTAAGGTTTAGGGTTAGGGTCAGGTCACTGTTAGATCAAGTGTCGAAGCTAAGAACTTGGTTAGTGTAGGATAATGACAGGAAACAAGTTCCGTAGACCAAATACTGATTCCCGATTTAGGAAGTCATAATCTAATCAACTGAACTGTGTACAGTTTCAAAATCACCTTGGACAACAGTTTCAACCATGCCGAACAAAGCAGTCAATATTTGTATACTATAGAATCCCCCTCGAGAGTATACATTATAATACTGTATTTACTATCGCAGCACTACAGTTTGTACATAATGGTTGATATAACCAATATCCATACATGTACATCTAAGGCTCTATTTCTGAGTGCTCTTACATGTGTACATAAAACAATCCTGGTATATCATGTACACTGCACCATTCTTGATGTGCATGTTGTATGTAGTCTGGAGATACATAAATAGAAGGTGATATGGAAAATTCAACACCCTTTATTGAAAAGTAGAATCGTACCTTGACATTTGACATGGCCACTGCGTACTTTGTATCCTACAGCACACTTCTGCTCAAGGCACTCTCCAACCTGTTTATCACATGGTTCATCATTCAAGCAATGACATTTATCAGTGCATTGAGATCCATAGTAACCGTTTTGACATTCATCTGGAACTGGGGATGATAATAATTATTTTAGAAATCACAATTTAGCCAGTACTACATGTATTAGTAAATAATATTATGTGTACCTCATAGAAATCAGATTGCTTCCATTACAACTATTATTTTTATTTGCTAACTATTGATTTTAAAATTGATTTCATCTTCACCAGTGATTGCATGTTTTTTTTATTCTTTGCAATATTGATTTCAATTATTACACATATTTGTAACAGAGCCTTCACTAGATAAATTCATGTATTTATAGAAAACATTCATCTCCTCTATCAATAAACATGAAAATAGTCCACCAACCTTCTCCTTGGTAGGGGTATGTCTACCAAAAATACGAAATATAATAACTTAAAGTGCTTATATAATTGTGAATTATCTTATTCCAAATGGGTATAGTACAGGCGCCCTAACAACAGAACAACAATTACAGTGTACAAGTATCTTACTTTTCAGTGAGAAGGCATTTATGTCATATTATTTGTTATCATTGCTGACCATGACTTACTTTGACAGTTGTTCCCAGACCAGTCAGTCTGACATCCACCTGTACATATTCCACTGTAGATATTACATGATGAACCGACGCCTGCACAGTGACATGTCTGTGAACATCCTGGACCATATGTACCAGTAGTACATACTGTAATATAAATTTAAAAAAACATTACAAAAACGGGATTGACAGATATAATACATTCATCACAAAGACAAAAAATGGGCATGTTACAATAATATCTTCTTATAAATTCCTCCTCCTCCTCTTCCCCCTCCTCCTCCTCCTCTTCTTCTTTACGTGGTTGCGCCTGACCTACATGTAGTTCATTCATGAATCCAGCCACACTATGGTATGTGCTTTTTAAATTCCAAGAAAAAATATAATTTTCTGAGAATTGCAGATGTATACACGTATGATAACTTTTTAGGCCTCCTTGATACATGTATTTTGACTAATATAATTTGAGCACAATAAATACATCGGAAGACTTACGTGTGTTACATGCAAGACCACTGGCACCGACGTCACATGAACATCCATAAGGATTAGGCAGGCAAAAAAGAGCCCCATGACATTTGTTCATTCCATCATTGGATGAACATTTAAACTCACAGTTCAATCCAAATCGATTTCCACCATCGTTTCTACAAACTGAAGAAAAAAAGTCCAATTGTTGAATAAAACCTTTTTAGACTTGCATAAGAAATAAGATTTCTTGAGATAAATATCAAGTAGAATTGCTTTCCTGATATTAAAATATTTGAAATGTACATGTAACATAGATGTACATAACTCTCTTTATTTTAAATGGAATAAGACAACACATATCTTCCTCAATTCATGTATTAACAGATAAACATAAACATCATTATACATGAAGTTCTACAGGCCTACCGGTACTTACTGTCTAAACAATTTGTTCCGTTGAAGTTGTTAGGACAGATACATAGACCAGACTTATCATCACAGACTCCACCATTGAAGCATTTATCACAGATACCATAACACTCAGGGGGGCCCCATTTACCAGCAGGGCATCCTAATATGATATACATGTAGGGAGAGAGAAAAATAAAATTCAAAATAAAGATTATATCATAACAAAGATGAAAAGATACAAGATAAGCAGGGTAAAGTTTGTTACAAAATAATGTTCTCGAAAGTAGAACTACAATATAGAGTATACTGTATGCCATTGGCTCTGTCATATTCTGAATTTACAAACAGGTATTTATTAACTCATATACTGCCATAAGGCTGCATGCACGCTACCGTTATAGTGCTTTGTACACGCGAGCATGCTATCGATTGGCAGCTTAATTCACGCGAGCCAGCCACAGCTTAGCTGCTTTATGCATGCATGCTCGCATTCGATGGGCAGGTCCAAGCTATTTGGATTGTGACGTACGGGACATTCAGAGACCTTAAACAAGAAATAACAACGGATGAAATTATTTATATGGCTATATTTTGGTATGAGTCTGTGGCTATTATGGGCAAGTTGATTTGTGGAAAATTTTATTTCTGACAAATTTTTAAATTAATTTTAATGTAAATAATGTGCTACGTGACGTACGGGACCAGAGAATCTCCGACTTTTTCAAAAACAAGATCATCGTAAAAGTTCTCTGAATTTATTAAGCTATTAGATTTATGGTAATGATATCTTAATTCATTATGGAATCAAGCATTAACCACAACTATTACCATATTTTTTTGACCTTTCATTGTTATGTAATATACCAAAACATAAATGTGTGTATGTGACGTACAGGACACGTGACGTACGGGACAACTTTTCCCTATGGGAAAATGCATTAAAATGAAGAATTTTCGTCAAAATTTGTTAAATGTGAACAATTTTAACTTAAATCAGTGACAATAAGAGTGTTTTAGAACCCGATTAGATCCTTTGACCATCACTTAATATCCTCTGTGTTAATTTATGAGGTAAATCAATACAAATATTACTTTAATAAAGAAAACATATTGAATTAAATTCATACATAGTATATTACCATTTTTATTCCATTTACCCATCTATCATGTGTAATGCTCTAAGTGTTTGTGAACAAAGATACATCACAAATATGAAGACTTTTCTTCATAGCTTGTTTGAATTTATACTTGATAGTAATATTATAGAATTTTGAAGAAATTTAAATATAATGCTGAACATATTGTCTTTTTTAAATCTTTTTATCACAGATTTTTTATGTACATTAATTACATTAATGTACATGTTTGTGAAAGATGGATACAAAAATATAAATCTTGAATGTATTTGTATTGTAAAGACATCTTATTAACACCACCAGATATAAGAAATTAAAACCCTATAGGTTTGTGTGACCTTTTCAACAATTCAAAAGATTTAAGCGTAAATCAACAAAAAAAGGATGGGTGTAAAAGTGATGAAAATCCTAAGTGGGTGAGAGTGTGAAATACACTAGGCTATCCTTCCTTCAAAGTTATGCTTTAGTTTTTAGGAGATCAGAATTCCCGAACTGGCTCCATAACATGTACAGTGTATGCTGTAATCCTTTACCATCATATATGACATTTAAATAGAATATCACAAAACAACCTCACATGGAGAGCTTGATACCATGTGCTATTCTTGCTTGCAGCATCTATGAGTTGTAAAAGCCAGCTTCTGGGGCATCTACTATCATATCATTTCATTAGACTCATTCCAGGAACTACTTCACTATTATGATTTACATATTTAGCATCCTGCCAATGTTGGGGACATCAACTGGCAAAATATCAAAGTTGATAATACCAGGGGTCTGGCTTGAAGACTAATTACATCAAGTTCAGTACAAGTAAATTCCTAGAAGGGACCCAGTTGGAATGTATCCCTGTATACAACAAGTTTCCTACCACAGTATATATTCTCCTTTTGGTCATTTCTTTTTCACATCTTGCATTTGTTTTAAATGGGGTTTTCCCGTACGTCACACGCTTGTCCCGTACGTCACATTTCTTAATTTGATTATGTAATCAACACAGATTGTTTGTAATTTTTGTTAAACCTATTTTTTGTTAGGTATCCATCTAAATTAGAACTTCCTAGAATATCTTTAAAACAAAAAAATATTTTCATAATTAAAATTAAACAAATCATCTTCAAAATTTTGACGTACGGGACATCACACATTGGAACCTACCTCATTTGCATAATTAATTAATTTTGAAAGTTTTAATATTTTTTAGCATGATAGTCTATACATGTCGTGAGATATGTAATTTTTAAAAAATAATTCAAATGAGATACAAAAATAAAAATGTAACGTCCCGTACGTCACGCTAATTAATACAAATCAAAGTTCGTGACCTTGCCATTCTTCGTATTTTGATTAAAACTTTATTTTTTTTATTAGATTCATAAAATTCATAGTTTCAGCTTTAAAATGATGTATAGTTTGTTAAATATATATAAAGATGAAATTTGACTCCCAGAGGGGACAATAGCTTGGACCTGCCCAATTGCAGTTTAATTGTTCATGCTCGTTGTACTGTGTTGAGTGCTTCGAACGCGCTATTGATCGCACCATCAGATTATTTCAAAATAAACTTGGCACAGGGGGGATTTGTGGCTTGGCACAATAGGGATCCCTGTGGCACTGAGCTGTATTCATTACGGCAGGATAAAAGTTAAACTACCCGTATGTAGAAATCGCAACACAGATCATGACATCGTTACACCTGAATTTTATCATTTGAAGTTTCATAAATCTTTTTAAATACAATTTGCAAAGGGAAATGAGCTGCCCATCAACGCGTCATCCCAAGTGACCAGACTTGGAGATTATCTACCAGACTGCTCTAAACTAACATTTTAAAGAAGTGTTCACATTCATTTATTCATTAATAACGAATTATAAATGAATATAATATGTAAATATCATCATCCACATGTAACTTGTAATCTCATGAATCTAAAATAAAAATTTCTTAGAAAATAAAGAATTCTTGGCAAAGTACATGCATCATAACAAACAATTATATTGGAGAACAAATGACCCCTTTCAAGAAGTCTAGTCTGAATTAGGCAGGAATACACTTGTACATGTACCTCTGACGATGAGCCTGTAGAGTCCTCCTCTATTTTGATTCCTCTCATTATTATAGTAGATCTCATAGATTCCTTGGTCTGATGTCTGGATTGGGTTTGGGAAGCTGATCTGAGTCTGCCCATCAACTGTAAGAACTTCACTCCCATCTTTCATCCAAGTAATCGCACTGTCGATCACATCAGGATTATTACGACTATTCATGTTGATCATCACTCCAGTGTCATTCACATTAACTGTCTTTGTAAACAATTCATCACTTGATTTGAATTTAGCTGTTAAAATGGATGAGAATAATAAATTAACCAAATAAAAATGTTAACTTTAATATAGCACCTACTGAATCACTCTCGCTCCTGAACCTTAGTAAACCGTTTTACAGTATAAACTCTTATTTTCATTTTTCCTTAGCAGCTGCATTTACACTGCAACCAAATATCATTGATTTTGTCACATTCTAGTGTTTCGCTCAAAACAAGAAGAAAAATTAAAATAAAAGATCCAGCTCTGTGTTTTTTTGTAGATTTTTGCAGTGTAAATGCAACCTTCTGTAGGATACCCATTTGTGCTCACGTGACACCCCTCACCGACAAGCGGCACATGCGCACTACCCACCGACAGCATCGGTTATGATCAAACTTCAGCGGGTTTTTAATGGGCTTTTAGAGTAGTGTAAATGGTAGTAACAAAATTTGATGATTTTTTTAAATTGTTTTCAATGAGGATTACTCCGTGATGTTCCATGACAAATAATATGACGGTGCATGTTCACGATTTGTTATTAAACCCTGCTATATCTTTGTATTAAGGAGGTTCCTCTAATATTTGAGGAATCTCCAAAATGCAATATGAGCTTTAGTCTATATTGTTAAAGAGGAATAATGTTTTATTGATAAACAAAAATCATTACAGCAAAGCCGCATTGCGAAGATTTTAAAAATAACCATTGATAACCAACAAATAATATTTCAATTTTTCTCGCATAACAAAAAAAGATGTTTGATTCTTTATTCTACATTACAATATATATATATATAGATCTGTGGTAAAAATTGGAATTGTGATTAATTTCAATTATTTCGTCATATTTACAAAGTGTGATACTTCATGTATATGTTCTATTGATAGCAGGTGCTTGGGATGTTAATTGATAACATTTATTGGCAATTCGGGATTTTAACTGAGATTGATTTGGATTATCCATGTATAACGTACATGTACATGAATTATACATGTAAAAATCTTAAATCTTAAATCTTAAATCTTAAATCTTAAATCTTAAATCTTAAATCTTAAAAATATTAAATCTATACAAAATAACACTATACATTCTATGAAGCATTGATGAATACATCTTTAAAAATGAGGAAATCTTATATTTATTATAATGAATGGAATATTATACTTACCATCACTTCTTTGGAAAAATGTAGTAACCCTTGTAACATCTCGATCAGATTTAGAAGCCTCACAGTAGAAAGGACCGAAACCATCACTACCGGTATCCCATCCATCTCCTGTAAGGAATTTGACCAGTCTGATGAATACATTTTCAGAATTTGGATGTCCCACCTCGTCTGGTGGTGACCTGTCTGTTGTTATGGGTGCTGATCGACCAAATGATAGTAAAGCGTCTGTATCTGGTACACTGGGGTAACATTGATACTGCACATTTCTCGATGTATCTACATTGGTGTATCCTAAGGTCAGCACTGTGATATGAACAACCTCACCTGCAACATAAACAATGAACAGAAATTCACTGTACATTAAATACATTAAACTTTAGAGTACATCTCCCTCCATGCATTCAGGCACTGTATTTGTATGACTCGGGTATAATTAAAAAAAGAAGCGTCTGCATGCTTTATTAGTGTGCATCTAGAGTGCAAATATACTTAATTATAGAAAATCATAATGTTGTTGTAGAGTTGTAGAACCATATCAATGGTACATGGAGCTGAAAAATAACATAACTGCCATTGAGATATTACACTTGTAATTACAGCAAGTTCAACATTAGGAATGAACATGTACGTGTGTATGTGTATATGTAGGTAGGCCTACATCTGTACACTGGGAAAATAAATATTCATTCACTTCCTACCCTTTTTGATAAGGAACTTAATGCAACTTAACAAAATATCAATACCAGAACTAATTACCCATATGCATGTCGTTCATAAACACTTTGGTGAATAAGACAAAAAGTAAAGTATAGAAATAGTCCAATAAAAAGAAGGCTTTATCCTAAAACACACTTACATACAGATACATCATAACCTAACATATAATTTTACAGTACTCTACAATTATACCTCCAACTAAACAACTACCAACCAAAACAAAGCAACCTTCACCTGCAAAATTAGTAAAAGACTTGATATAATATTATTGGCGTAGCCAGGGGGTGGTGGGGGCAATCGCCCCCCCCCCCCCCTCCTAAAAAAAAAAAAAAAAAACGCAGGCCAAAAAGAGAGAGAGAGAGAGAGAGAGTAAAGAGGAAAGGTAAGAGAACGTAGGAAGAAAAAAGGAACAGACAAAGAAACATTTTTGAAAATTCAGACAAGAATTAAGTATCGAGAACGGTACAACAAAACGTCTTCTGTCTCTAATAATTTAATGAAACGTCAAAACTACTGGGGGTGTTTCACTAAGCCCTAAAATCGATATCAATTTTAAGGGCTTAAAATTGATTTCGATTTTAGCAGCTGTTTCACTAAATAAAAATCGATTTTGGCCTTAAAATCGATTTTAATTTAGAGTGTGATCCATATCAATTTTAAATCAATTTTATCCTTATTCATTGCATTATTGAAATGCTATGTTCAGCATTCATTGGTTTCAAAGGCGCAAGTGTCGGCTAGCTTCAATTTGAACATACATCTGAAAATGAAAAATTCTGTTCTTGGGGGAACAATTCTTTGTTCATAACTAATTTTTTTTTAAATCATCATAATTAGGCATGATCAATACCAAATATGGCACTCTAGTGGGGGGGGGGGGGAGCACAATGGCCCATTTTTTCTTCAAAAATACATGGGCGGCCCGTTTTCCTCTTAACCCTATCTAGCCTGGGGGATGGGGGCCTTATCCAGTCGGCGGCACGGGAGGGGGCCCAATTCGTGAGACAATATTTAGCAGCCGAAACAGCCGGCCGATAATTCGCTCAGTGGAGGGGGGGGGGGGGGGGGGGGTAGTGAACAATCAAAAAAAAATATTGGGGGGGGGGGGCCCTCGAAAATTTGAAAAATCACCCCCCCCCCCCCCTTGAGGCCCAGAGGAGGGGGCCCGGACCCCCCAGGCTATGCAGTTTCAAAATAACCCATCCTAAATAGGGTTTAAGTGCCCCTTTTACATTTAATAACATCCCTTTTTGTTTATTACAAGTGCACTTTTCCTTCATGTAGTTTGTCCCGTTTCACTTTGTTTTAATGTTCCTCTTGTTATTTCTAATAACTTTTTATGTTTTCTTCTTAGAAGTGACCCTTTTCCATTTTGTTATGTGCCCCTTTTTCTATATTTTTTAAAATATATGTGCTTACAATTATGTGTCCTTATGTCGTTCATATTCTCTCTCTCTCTCATTAACATAAAACGATATTCCCATCACAACGCTTTGATTGCCGTAATTTTGTTTCTTCATGAACACCCCCCCCCCCTCCTCCCCCCCCCCCCCCAAAAAAAAATAAAGAACAAAAATGAATAAACAATAACTCACCAGCATACAAACAAACCATTCTTGAATCACATCATTGCCCTTTATCATCATGTAATTATTATCACCATGCGCTATCGTACATTCTCATCTATTCATCCCCCCCCCCTTTATCTTCTTAAAGACAAAAAATACATACAAAATAAAATTAACACAGATTTTAATGTATATTCAATATGTTTATGCTTTAATGAATGAAATCTAAATTTTGTAAATGATGAGCATAGCAAACACATTCAAGGGATACAATTACAATATTTTAAATGACACAAATAAAAGTGCTCCTATGAAAGTATCAGCCAGTTGTTGAAACTACTGCAGCTGATATCTGCCACTCTCTATTTGAGTTACCTTTAAGGAGATAAAAAGAGTAATACTTGTCACAAATATTTCTGTTACTCATATGGATGTTAATCTAATGGCGATATACATTGTCATGTAAGGCCACGCAGTCGGTGAGAATGTGGTTTCTTGATGCAATAGTTTGTCTATATGAAATTAATCATCAATTCTTTTCTATCAGCTTTGACAAAAAATTCTAAGGACAACATAAGTCAGAGTTAATATATTTCCTGCAATGCTGCAATCGCTACAATAGTACTTTAAGCACCAACAGATAATTATCGATACCTAGTCATGCAAGAAGTGCCTCTAGGAAGAGTTCCAAATAGGTCATTAAACTGCTGCTCAGATGAATGGCTAATTAAGAAATTCTAATTTGATATTTTAAGATTTATTGCCATGAACAAAATTATCTATGTAATGTGAGTTTGGTAACAATAACCTCCATGACAGAATAATAGCTTTTTATTTCTTCTCTTTTCTTCTGCAAGATTCTAAAATTCTGTTTAAAATATAGGAAATCTTGGAAGTATCATTAAAACGTTTACTTCCTTTAAAATATTTTATGTTAACATTTTATCAAACCCAAAACCTCAAACTCGATGGCAAAATTTTAGTACCTTGACTAGAGCATTTGTAATAGCTTATAGGAATTAATTTGTAAATCTTATTTTACAAGTAGTGTTGGTTGTAAAAAGTGACCAGTCCATGATACCAAGATCTGTATCTCATTGTGGTTCCTCTTGCTTAAAGCTGGAAAAAGGAGCTTCTATCTGTAGGCTGGCTGATGTTTCATAAGAAGCATAACGTTGCAGGTAATTCAGGCTCTGCAGTCTAGAATAGGAATTGAAAGTTATGAAATAAATGAATCAATTACTAAATACAAGTACAATTTTTCAATCTATCTTCAACTGTTGTATTTATGATTATTTCCAATACTTTAATTGCTAAATAAATAAAGTAGGAGAATAAAAAATAGTTACAGAAGATAAACGATTGTTTGCTTTGGATAAAAAAAAATATCCTTTCATTACCATTTGTGTATGTTTTATCTAACAGAATGGGTAAGATGGGTATTAGACTTCTTACAAGGATTATGAAAATGATAGATCAATTTTGGTAATTGATACTGCTTACCTTTTCAATTTGAAGAGATGGACAATAAATGTTCGTTTGTCATGAACTAGCAGTACATGCAGATGCCATGTAGCTCTTTATTTTGCAACCTAGGATTTAAAACAGAGATACATATATTTGTTATGAAGAGAGCACATCTATTTTTCAGAAAAGTAATTGTCACTGTATCAAATGTGTTTAAAAGAACATAAGTACATTTTTATCAGTAATTACAACAGTAATTTACATGTATTCAGTCCAAGACATTGTTACCAACCAAATTGTAAGTTTTTAGACATTTGGAAGATTGACTATGGAGTCTAATCTTGATCTCGGATACCCTGCTCTTGAACCAAACACTGTTGTACACAGATTCAATGAACATTCCCCTGTCGTGAGTAGAAGGCAAAGAGGTATAAAACAAACAGAGCAGCTTTCATCATACATATATTCTCATTACAGTTTGTTCAATCACCTCTTTATACATTAATTGCTGCCCTATTATTTGCACAATATTAATCAGGCTGGCTGATGAAGTAATTTATCTATGATTTAGACATGTCATAGTTGACTTCCCCCTCACATGGATTTATCAGTTTGCGATTGTACGTAGAAAATTTAATGAAAATCAAGATTTACACACTCGACAACAAATAAATAATCTATTTATACATAGGTCTAGAAGAACCACACAAAAAAAACTTACCTTCGTTTTATTATTGGTGTGCAAATTTTACTAGTAAGAAGATCACTCCAGAAGGCCGCTTAGCACAGTACATCTGTGCATCTATAGCTGTACACCTAGACATTGAGCTTGAGTACATTCTGCATATCCAAACCCTTTCCTTGAGCCTGAGGTCAAGGAAGAATGAGAAGTCCAAGACTGTAGAGACACAGCAGAAGATAACTTTTGAGTCTTTGGACTAAAGCCAAGGTCTATATGGTGGATACGACTTGTGGTCCACTCCATCTTTTAGTCTGACTCTGAAATAAAAAAATAAAAAAATTAATTCTAGTATAGTCTAGAGCTTGGAGTTGGACTGTGTTAGGGACCCTAATACCAGGGACGGATCAAGGGGGGGGGGGGGGGGGGGGGGGGCACAGGGGGCACGTGCCCCCCGGCCCCCCAAAAAATGTTAAAATCAGCAAAATTTGTCTAAAATGTACTGACCAACAGGGACGTGCCCCCCCCAGCCAAATAAAAACAAATTGTGTTACCTCCCCCTCCCCCCCCCCCCGAGCGAATTTGCGGCCAGCGCAATTTTCAAATATTCGGGACCTAAAACAAAAATAAATGCGCTCTTTACCCCCCCCCCCCCCCCCCCCCCCCCAAACCTCACTCACAGGTCTACATCTACCCTAGATCTAGATCTATCAAGTATCATGTAGATCTAGACCTAGACTGTAGACTAAGTCTACATCTAGAGTAGATCTAGACCTGGGTCTGACAGTAACACTCTAGGCCTAGACCTCTAGATCTAGAGTCTAATTTTTTCTTTCATAAAAATGTTACCTTCAAAACAATAATCCTATTAATTTTGAATAATTAGGCCCTAGGCCTAGGCCTAAATTAGATCCAGATATATCTAGACCTAGAGTCTAAATCTAGATCTATCATTTATAATTAGACACTAGGCCTAGATCTATAGACTAGACTAGTCTAGATCAAGAGGCTAGAAAATCTAGACCTAGACTAGACTAGAGTCTAGGGTCTAGTCTATATCAACAAAAACAAGACAATGCTTAAATAAATAAGGGATAGGGCCTAAGGCTAGATCTAGGCCTAGATTCTAGATCTTGATTCTAAGCCCAAATCTACAACTAGTAGCATAACTAGTAAAACCAGTAAACTAGTAAAACTACTGCAAGAATAAACTAGACTAATAAGTTTGTACCTGTCCGTCTTAACCGAATAATAAACGTTGTTAGGAAATTACTATTGAACCTGCATGAATTTATATGAATGGGACTGAAATGGTTGAACCAGTGCACTTCGTCCACTTGGAGAGTGATATAAATTGATTTTATTTAAGATTTCGTTCAGTAACACAAAAATTAAATTGCATAATAATGAAAGGAACACTTCTTTTCTTCCAAAATAACAGATTTGTTATCAACAGAATTGATATTTTCAAAGAAAACAGATTTTACTTACTTTTCTCACTGTAGTCAAGCAAGGCCATTTTGTGATCGATTTACCCCAAATTGACTAGCCTTGATTGCAGACACCTAAAAATCTATTTTAGCTTAAAATCGATTTGATGAAACAGCTCACAAGTATCGGTTTTAAGCTAAAACTGATTCGGCCTTAAAATTGATTTTAAAAATCGAAATCGATTTTAGTTGATGAAACACCGCCCAGGTATGTAAATCAGTATATCCCTTGCATGACATGTACATACGTGCATGAAATTGGTGTTTTTTCCCTTTCAAATTCAAACTTCTTATTCTTTTCTCTCACAAATAAAGATCAGTCACAGATTAAGTACAAAATAGTTGTTTACTTTAAGTGAGTAGCCTTTACAATGTACAATACATCATAGAGCTTTTACCAAACAGGGAAAAGTACAAAGATCAGCAATGTAAGACTTAATACCCACATCTATGAGAATTAATCACTGTAATAAAATATGATTGTTGCCTCCTCTGACATGACAGGAAAATGAATCAGCCAATCAGTTTAAATGGATTTCAGGTCTTCCTTGTTTAACAATTGTTACAGAATATTCTCATTCTTTCCCACCCCCTTTATTTCTGTGAATACATGCCTCTCTAATCTTTAACTCTTTGGTTGCTTTCTTCACCTCTATGCATGGTCAATCATTTGCCACATGTGCAATTTTGCACAAAACAATAGGCACCGATTGACGCGTAAACATTGCTTTGAGCAACACAATGTCTATGCCAAATACACATTTCTGGTGTTAATTAGCTCCATGACAGCCGTTTTGATACCACCAGTATAAAATTAATCTTGCTCTGGGAACTGTTGAATAATACTGAAGTCTGAGTGGAACAGGGACATTATTTGCATAGCATGTATAGAGTAAATGTTGAGCTCATCCCGTTTGTCCTGCTTTCTATCATTCCCTCTTTATATTGGTTCACCCCTTCCCACCTCCCCACCCCGTCTTATAAGTCTCCTCCATTGCATTCATTTCTTTTCTTTCTCTCTTCTTCAATGAATTATCTTCCTTTGTTAACCCTTTTTCTCTATCCTGTGAGCAAACGGAAGGGAAGATCAGGGTAAACCGGGATGAGGAGAAGTCCCTGGTCATGCAAACAAAAATCATATGAGACAGATGGAAAATATACACAAATATATTACAGATTAAGGATTTGGAACAAAGGATAATTAAAATATATATTCAGAGTTGTAAAAAAAGGAAAAGAAAAACAAATTCTGTGTTTTTTTTCTTCTTCAGTATTTTGTTGCTAGTTAGGAATATTTTAATTTGAAGTTTTCATGGAATAGTCCATTTCAATCATCAAGTTTGTTGAAACAAATGGTAGAGTTATCAAACATTACACAGATATCATAACCAATTGGCAATTCGGAAATTCTAAATTATATGGGTAATGAATACAATCTCAAAACTTCATAAATTTCCAATTTGTCCAATTTTGCTCAAACTTTTACCCATCTGCTCCTTTGTTTTTTCTGGTTTCTTGTACAGCAACTTGCTATTAAAGGGGATGTCCACCCTGATATTACATGTAGTTTGGTTTTAATAAGCGGAAAAGAGGGAAACAAATTAGTGAACGTTTGAGCAATAGGAGATTAAAAATAGGAAAATAATGAATTGTTAAAGATGCAATCAATTAAACACCAATTGGCAACTGGATTTCCCCTTTAAGATTGGATTCAGACATGTAAAAACATGCACCCCATGCCAAATCAAAGTTGTTTAGATCATGTTTAAAAATCCTAACTTCCTTAACCTTATAACAATTATCTCATCAGAATTTCCTACACTTTAAACACTCTTCTTCACAATAGCTCAACTCTGGATTTCCAGGTTGCCAGGAATTGTAAGAATAGTAGAATACCTTAGTTTCTCTCTCTCTCTCTCTCTCTCAATTTATCTTTCCTTCCCCACTCTCTCTTTTTTTTCTCTCTCTCTCTCTCTCTCTCTCTATCCTTCTCTCTCTCTCTCTCTTTCTTTTCTCTCTTGCTATCTCTCTACACCTTTCTTTGTATCTTTGCATCTCAATCTCTTCCTCCCCATCCACTCCCTCTCTCTCTCTCTCTCTCTCTCTCTCTCTCTCAATGTACTAGTTAATCATGTAACTAAATGAGCTTTTACAAAGCCAATACAAATGATGCACAAGGGTACATCGCCATAGACAATGTAGGTTGATTTTTTTTTTTTCGAAAGTAGTTGCTACCATGTTAAAGGTAATCATGATTCTCTGTCTTAATAAATGCGCTGTAGGAACACAATTTGAACATGAACATTTTTTTCCTTGTACAAAGTTCCAAATGGCATGATTGTGACGATAACATAGAGAGAATTGAAAGCAGATTGTATTTTGTTGACAAAGCAATATAAAGCGCTTGCTTTCAATGGCAAGCTTGAGTAATAACTAATTGGCATTAAAAAAAGAAGGGAAAAGATCTCATTCAGACTTAGATGCAATGAACCTCCTGCAGTAGGGAAGCAATGAAGCGATTGTAATGATACCACACTACAAACACAGGCAGCGTGTGAAAATCATGGCTAGAATAATCAGATTCCAATTGCAGTTAATGAGCTTGAAAAGTCGCTATATACATGTATGTACACCATGAGGAAATAAAAGACGAAGAGAATGGAGAAAGGCTCAAACCATATCTTCAAGTGTTGTCCTCATACCCTCCTGGCAGCGATCTTCCCAGGAAGCTTCCTTGGGTAAATCAGTTGAACCGCCTATATATATGCTACGATCAGGGGCAGGTCACTTTCTAGCAAGCATAACTCTCTGGAGTCTCAAAGACTCTGTCTGACCTGTTGCCATGCTGTGGTCAAATTCAGAATGTTAAACATATATGTACTCATGTCACACCTGTGATTAGCACACAACCAAAACTCCAATTTTAATACTTTTGTAATACTTGTTAATACTTATTATATCATCTGAATAGAATTTGAATTGCATTTTATAGTTTTTTTTTACAGTTTATTGAGTTTACGTATGTGTATACCTTTTATTTG